TGCCCATTCCTGAGCTTCTTGGGCTCCTGCGGTTCTCCATTTGCAGCCTTCACCTCATCACTGCCGCCTGCATTCCCTCTCCTTCCTTCTCTGCCTCTGCACATCATCTTTGTCTTGTCTCTCTCTGGCTCCTTGGGGTACTCGGTTGCCTCCGGTGTCGTGTCCCATTATGGGTGTACTAATCCGATTGGTTCATCCCTCTTTTCCTGCCCTGTCTTGTCTGCAAGTTCTAGGAAAGTTTTATTATCTTTTCCTCAGGAAATTTTTGTCTTCTTGGAGTTACCTATGTTATCTCTCTTGGTACACGTTGAATGATTTAATGTCCTATCTTTTTTACGGATGCCACACCTGAAGTATGTAATTTATATGGGTCCACACAAGGACAAGCTAAAGCTGAAGAATGGCATACTGTCTTGTTTGTTTCTATTTAAAGTGTCCTACCCTGTCTGTTCCCGTGGGGGACTTATGGGTGGTGGTCATGTCTCCTGGTCTTGGGTTTCTGGGCTGTCTTTGTCTTGTGTACATGACTGTGGTCCTTCCGTATATTATTCCCTTGATCTTGTGTTCATGGACTGGGGTCTTTGGATTGTTTTCTTTATTATATTATGGGCACCAATTTTTTTGTGCCTTGTGATCTTGCCCTATACTGTGTATTCCTGCAGCTCCCAAGACTACAGCCCTCGGTTTCCTGTCCGTATTATGACTGTTTTAGCCGTGGGGCTCTTTTACTCCGGGAAAATTAAAAAACAAAAATGCTATCTTTTTTATTCACATTGTGCGTCTTATCCGCTGGCAAATGTGGTAGATAGGGCTCATCCCCACGTTCGTTTCCGGGTTCCCTAGGATTCCTTGTAATTGTCTTTTCATAGATTTTCTGCCACATTGGTGGAAGTTCCATTTTATTTTGTCCTAGGTTCGGTTTTGGCTGGGCCTTGTATGGGATTCTCGAACTGCGTCCCCTTCTCTCTCCCTCCTGCAGCTTTGCTCCAGCTGCAGTCCCGCTTTCCGCTGTTTTTGAGGGGGACCCAGGTCACTTGACGATTGCATGAGCAGCTATGTGAGAGCCTAAGTTTTGCCCTTCTGGTTTATCCGTTGTGCAGGATTTGGCTTCGGATGCTGTTCTGTTGTCTGTGGAGCCTCCTCTTTTGCCATGCTTGCAACCGTTGGGTTCACATCAAAATATCCTTGTGTTGGTTACTGCATCACTGGCTTCTCTTTGGGGTTTTCGGAGTTCGGTGCCATGGCACCTTCCCTGTACCTCACTCAACGTGTTCCCGAACTCCTCATCGAATGGTTAGGGTTTTGTGAACAGTGCTCCCTAGTCCGGCCAGGGGCGTTGGGGTTGGTCCTTCTGTTGGATTCTCAGCACGGTGCGGGAATTTGCGGCGGGCCCTTCCTGGCCTTGTGTGGCTCTGGAACGTCTATCGCGGCCATCGGCCTCTTCTTTGACTTGAGTCTTGCGGTGTTGCTGCTTCCTGGGTAATCCCTGTTTTTTCTTTGTGGGCAGTTAGCTTCAGAGAGCCGACGGGGCTCCCCCAGAAACCCAGCATTGAATGTAATGAAACGCCCTTTTCTGGGAGTAGCCCCGGAGGCTCCCTGAGACCCTCCCTCACTCCATCAGCAGTTTTCCATCAGGCCTAGAACTGAGGTGGTGGGAGACCGGCTCCTCCTCCCCCCCTTATTGGGGGAGGGGGGGTTATGCTAACAAGCAGGGGTACCTGTTGAGGATAGAATTACTAGTTTCATTTCTTTCAGCAGGAGCTTCTTTGCTCTTTCTAGCTGTAGGTAGCAATTTTACCAGCTAGTAGTTTGTTTTTGTATGCCTATCTTTCTGGGTAAATGCCCTAAAAGAAAAGAAAGGTTGGTCCTCCTTTTGTATGTTTCTGGATTCTGTCAGGTTTCCTGAATTCATTGTCTTTGTGTTTTCTAATTCTAAGGTTAGGGTCCTGTTGTGTTTTGGGTCCCATTCCTTGTCCTAGCTTGTAGAGAGCCACTATTAGGGGGTTTGACACAGTGCTTCATTTCCCCGGTCATTTTGCGGGTGCTTCCCTTTCTGTGATGGACATGGGCACCACCTGGTTCTTTTACAATACATACTGGGCTCTTGCTTCTTACCCATTCCTGGATTTTGTTTCCTGTTCTATGGTCGAGACACTGGCAGCTGTGCCCTTGTTTTTTCCATGATTTGGTTTTGGCATAGTGCCTCCTCTTTTTCCCTATTTGTTTCATGGGTGGTGGTGACTTTAACTGTTTTTTTTTGAGTTAGTTAGGCCTTGGTGGTGTGTCTGCCAGCTGAACGATGGCATTCAAGAATTCACTGGTCTGCACTCTGGAGTTAACTCGTGGATTGGTCTGGGGAGAGTGAAGGGCCCCACATTCTTTCACTCAAATGATAACACTTTCTGCTATTGTATGATGGTTAAACATAAACCAACCATTAAGAAACAAAGACAGCTAATATGTAAAATTATCTTATGTTATATCACTTGCATAAAAGTTCAATAAAACTTTAAGCACAAAAGAAAAGCCATCTCTCATTTTCACTAATCTACATATAATAATTTTTATTTACTGCTCTTCACTACTTCTTTCGATAGCAGTGTGACTTGTATAAACTAGTGGGTGAAGCTTTGACCAATGAGACTCATCGTTATAAAGTGCCAATTCATTCATAATGTAACCCATCTAGCCTAGTATTGGGTAAGATTATGGGGTAAGGTAATTATGAAGAGACAGTACTAAGCCATTATGACTATATAGCACTTGGATGGGATATGAAGAAAAGGATTTAGGATAGGACATAAGGAAGGAATGGTGTCCAACCTCTTGCAGGTCAGCATTCAATTGACAACCGTCCAAGTGGTTGGACACCATTCCTTCCCTCCGTCCTATCCTAAATCCTTGTCTTTATATCCCTTCCAAGTGCTATATAGTTGTAATGCCTTTAAGCTTTCTCATCATAATTACCAAACCTCATAATCTAACACAATATACGACAAAAAAAAGCAGTGTTGCATGTTTGCACTTTCCTAGAAACTTGGGGGGGGGTTTTCTTGAGATTATCTTGAGATGATTTCGGGGCTTTAGTGTCCCCGCGGCCCGGTCTTCGACCAGGCCTCCACCCCCAGGAAGCAGCCCGTGACAGCTGACTAACACCCAGGTACCTATTTACTGCTAGGTAACAGGGGCACAGGGTGAAAGAAACTCTGCCCAATGTTTCTCGCCGGCGCCTGGGATCGAACCCAGGACCACAGGATCACAAGTCCCGCGTGCTGTCCGCTCGGCCGACCGGCTCCAAGGTAAAGGAATATTTTTCCTGGAGTGTACCCTCATAATGATAACTAAAATAATTTATCTGAATTTTCCTGAGGGCCACTATTTCTCTAGGAGCCTCAATGAGGACAGGAAGCCGGCAGCTTATCAAAGGTCCCCATAATATGCAGAATAACATTCAGCTGTTCATGTTTTTATATAGCATCAATAAATGGGTAACTACACAACCATTTAATGTTTCCATAAGCATAAACAGAAATTGAAATAAAATTTATAAAACACTTTCACATTCTTCACCTACAGGTGTTCAGAATTAATTTCAAGGCTAATATGTTAAGGTTTAAATATACAAAAACTATGTAATTAAAAATCTTAGAGAATATTTGCAGCTGTTATCTCATAATGTGTTTAAAATATTACTAATAGGGCACACAACTAACAAATGTGAAAACAAAGAAAGGTCTGTTCTGGACCATTATTAACCTCGACATTACTAATAAGGTTGAACTGCAAAGTGAATTATTTAGATAGTTGGTGCTGCTTTTGAGCGACTAGGCTAGGAAGCAGAGAGCTTTTGACTAAGGCATCGAAGGCCAGCTTCCACATTCGGCAAAGATTTTATTTTACATTTTATGGGAGTAAGCTGGAATATCCAGATTCCTACAAATGTTGCTTAAAAAGTAAAAAGAGAGGAACAGCGTCCTCTGCAAGATACGACTTGGATACCTTATACCATGACCTAATAACACATTTTTTCTTAAATCATGAGCACTGGAGTCATTCACAACGTCGGTAAAGTCTTTATGTATATCATCCTCAACAAGCAATATCTGTATGAATAATATTTCTAATTGGCTATAAATTCCTCTTCAAACATATCTGGAAAGCCTCTCTAATTCATTTAGTACTATTAAATTTGTCACATTTTCCACATTAACGGTATCTAGCATATCATCAAGTGCCTCAAACATGTTGAAATTTCCTTTCCTTACTTTTGTTTGCCACAATTCTAATTTCATCAGAAAACTCTTCAGGTTAACATCAGTTGGTGGCAAAATCATCCGGCCCCTTGTAAAGATTCATTGAGAATAATTTGATGAGCAAATATATCAACAAGATATGCAAGATAAGTAACCACTTTGGATCACTTAACTTTGCACGAGACCTAAGATTCCTTCTTGACATTATGGCTGCAGGGCTTTTATTTTTTTTTTAGCTCGTTCAGTAGTTCAAAAACACTCTTGACAAATTGTCCTCGAGATAACCATATAACCTCTGTTATATAAAGTGCTTTTCATGATTAGACTCTAAATCTGAGCACAGTAGTCTTAACAACATGTGGTTTTACTGTGGTATTAAAAACCTTCCTTTAGTTCATTAAGGAAAATAAAACTGCAGTTATCCATCCTAGCATTAACAGATACCACCATGAATAAACATAACATAGAGCTATGTATACCACCTTATAAACCCTTGGCATATACCCAGGGATACTTGTACCCCTTGGTTGAAAATCCAAGATAGGGTAATGCTTAAGATAAGTTTTGGGAAAGAGCGTTCTGAGCCTGCCAAAAGCTGGCAGAAGTCCTCTGCATATGTTAAGAGGACTAGTAGCATTGTGTGTGGGGGGTACCAGGGCCTAATACATTGGAGAGCTACTAGGGACTGTCAGAAAAGGACATTTCATTACATTTAATGCTTAATTGATTACTTCTTTCCTTGTGCAGGTTGTTAATGCGGTAAATACCACTCTTCAGTGGAGCTCTCCTACCAGCCAGGCATACTATAAGAAGACAGACATTGTGGGCCCTGATGGTACTGGTCAAATAGCAGAGCCATCATCATCACACAGCAAACAACCTTGGCCAGTGCAGACCCCTCAGCCATGCCTTTACATATCTCGCAGTGACGGTAATACTCATCCTGGCGAAACATTTTATGGAACAGACAGTAAGCAGTGGATTAGTAGTGGAACTAATAATAACACTTATCAGTGGAGTGGCAGTGAAACATTGAACAACAGCTCTAATAAAGTCGTCGAACACTGGAACAAAAGTGCCTCAGATTGGTCAAGTAGATCTTCACACTTGTCCAGTGTTGAAGATATTGACATGGCATCCCGAGACCGCACACAAGAGTTTGTACGTATTGTGCGCTCACAACAAGGGAGTTATTCAAATGGTGTCCTACCCCATCATGATGGAAAACACCCAAGAGATCTACACGAATACAAAGACTTCATGCAAAGAGCCAAGTGAGTATTCAATTATCGCTTAATGTTTTTAAAATTTAAAAACAAAAATTGGGCAATATTTAACCCATGAAAGTTGAATAATGTACGTGTATGAATGTTAATTGTTGTAAAATGTGTAGGCCTCTGTTTTGAGATCACATGGAGGAATTAACACATCAAATCATTGAACCCTTGATATTATCTAGTTCTAGTAGTTCCAAAATGATTAATAACCTTGTACCATATTGCTAACTTGTACACAAATCGTAAAACATGTAACTGATCTAGGCTTTGAAAGTTATTCCTTTTAACAAGAAAAAGATTAATTAGATGTGGCTAGGAGTACAGTAAATTTATAGCATTTGTAATGCAGTAAAGTAAATTTGACTACAGTAAATCTTAATTATCTGGAATAATTGGTTCTGCAACTGGTGTATCCATTTTCCAGTTGTCCATGTATTTTGGGAAGGGATTACCTTACTAATCAAATGAGTCATGAGTGCCTACTGGAGACTGGGAACAGAGTCTGGTCCATCAGAGGCAATGTAGTCTGAGGAGACTAGAACAACCCAGACAGTGAGGGAAAATCTACCAGTAAGGTATGGCACCCCAAAGCAAGCAACTGTATAGAGAAACATCGGCAACCTTGACAAACCATATACACACTCGTGCTTGTTTTGGTTCCAGTGTATTGTATGAGCTTGGCTCTCTTGGTGTTTCAGGTTGCATGTCCTGAGGATTTTCTTCCCTCTGTGCCCACTAATGCTGTCCTTAGAGTCAGGGTTCCTTTGTCTGGTGTCTTAAGGAGTTCGTCCGAGAGGCCAGACCACTGATACCTGCACAATACCTGCTTGATGGGGTTCTGGGAGTTCGTTTACTCCCTAAACCCAGCCCAAGGCCAGACTTGACTGAGAATTTTTGTCCAATAGGCTGTTGCTTGGAGCGGCCCTCAGGCCCACATATCCACCACAGCCTGGTTAGTCCGGCACTCCTTGGAGAAAATGATCTAGTTTTCTCTTAAAGATGTCCACTGTTGTTCCAGCAACCGAGGTCGGGAGTCACTTTGGGTCATTCAAGGATCCTTGATTCCTCTGTTTGGGTCCTTGGTTGGGAACATTCTTAGGTTGTGTTGGGGGGGGGTAGTGTTGTTCATGCACTTGTATTGCATGCCACAGACACCACTTGTCTCATAGTTCTGGCTTCAATTGGTGTCTGGTCTTTCAGCAAGCAAGCAAACAAATGAGTGAAATATTGAGGTTTACAGTATAGTGAAATATTGAGGTTTACAGTACAGTACAACCTCGATTCAACGTACTATATGGGACCAACCCCAGTTCGTTGGAGCGTTGGATTCGTTGCAAGAGGTGACCTTCAGGAGGCGTTTGTGTTAGTGTCTTTTTTTTTTCTTGTACACAATAATTCATTATCATATTACATACTGTACCTATATATTATTTCTCTACTAAAAAATACTGTAATTCATAAATTTACCTGATTGTTGGAGTTACTGTATGTCCATCTTGAAGTTTCGTGAAGTTTTGAATGCTCTACAGTAAATACGTACTGCAGTGCATGTGCCGTTAGCACTGTGTTGATTAAAAGTAGTTCTGTTGTATGTTGAGTACTACAATACAGTTTATGAAAACTATTGTACACTAAAATTACTGCAACTTTAATTTTAACACTGTGTACACACCTAAATTTAACACTTGTTCTAACTGTTCACTCTGCACACAATGTTTTTAGATGTTTGCATCAGCTTTGCTGGTGCTCGCTGCTGCTGTGGGTTCAGCCGCTTCTGAGCTGGTGCTGGCTGCTGTTGTACCAGTGCTGGGTACAACTGTGCTTGTGCTGGGTACGGCTGTTCTCGTGCTGGGTACGGCTGTTGTGCCAGTGCTGGGTACAACTGTGCTCGTGCTGGGTTTGGCTGTTCTCGTGCTTGGTACGGCTGTTCTCGTACTTGGTACGGCTGTTCTCTTGCTGGGTACGGCTGTTCTCTTGCTGGGTACGGCTGTTCTCGTGCTTGGTACGGCTGTTCTCGTGCTGGGTACGGCTGTGCTCGTGCTCGTTGATTTTCTGCTACTAGTTCTTGCAAAATATTGCTTCATTTTTGGCATTAATAAGGCACTATTAGTAAGCCCCTGAGACATTTTGTTTTATAACCAAAGAGCTGTAGTAAAAAAAATGGTCAATTCCACAATTCTTCTTCTACTGGTGGATAAATACTGTACGTTAATCGCAGACAAAGGTAAGGGCACTGGGTGTGTACGAATGCAGACTAAGTCTATACGTACACCCTTCAGTAGGCTGGTGTTTAAGCCAGATCCAGTAACATAAATTTCTCTTAAATATTCGATTTACATCAAATTATGTGTTTTTGGGTTATATATTTAGTTTAGCAACATTATTACGATAATAAGAGCTATAAAAAATACTTTGGAACTGATTTATTAATTTTATTTCGAAGCCGTAGATCACTGAACTGTGGTGACGAAATCGAACAAAACACGCCTGGTGTTGTGTTCGATTTCCAGTAACATAAATTTCTCTTAAATATTCGATTTATTTTTGGGTTACATATTTAGTTAAGCAACACTATTACAGTAATAAGAGCTATAAAAAATACTTTGGAACTGATTTATTAATTTTATTTCGAAGCCGTAGATCGCTGAACTGTGGCGACGAAATCGAACAAAACAAGCATGGTGTTGTGTGGACAGAGATTAGACCCGTCCACTCGTGCTGGAGTTGTGCCGCCAATAATGTGAATAATTTCTCAAATAGCAGATATCTATCATATTACAGTATATTTTTGGTTTTATTTAGTTTAGTTTAATTAGGACAATAAAGAGGTATTAAAACACCAGTTTTAGAAATTATTTATTAATGTGAAATGTTCATAGTCATGGGTCACTGAACTATGACAACAGACGAAAGTGAGTGAAACCTTACTGCATAGCGAGGTTTACTGTACAGTATTCCCTTATCTGTCCACCCTCGCTCATCTTGTTTCATCACAGAAAATGTATATAAGAAGATTTCAACACATTAGCTAGTTATTCACGCTTCTGCCTTTAAATTAATTTAGTAACATACATGTGCCACAAATCAATGAACGAAAATCATTGAAACTCAGTTGTTCTCTTGTGTGGACCATTCTGGCTTGTGTGGTCCACTTGTGTGATCCAACTTGTCTTATGAAGGAATTATTAATTGTAATCTGTGATGGTATGGGAAAGTTTTCCACCACTCTGTGAACTCTGTCCCAACATCGTAAGCAAATCCGAACATCCCCCGCTTCAACGAACCATTGTTCGTCGAACCGGGTGAGTAAATCCGGCCTGAAAAGTGTGCGAACTAGCCGGAGATTCGTTGAATCGGGGTACGTTGAATCAAGGTTGTACTGTATAGTGAAATATTGAGATTTATTGTATAGTGAAATATTGAGATTTATTGTATAGTGAAATATTGAGATTTACAGTATAGTGAAATATTGAGGTTTACTGTATAGTGAAATATTGAGGTTACAGTATGATTCTGTTTTTAGTGAACCCCCTGAACACACATTACAGATCAATGATCCAAATAAATTCTTTATGAATGTGACACCACCACAGAACCATATATCAGATGTTACCTTAACCCCACTCAACACTCAACTTTGCCATAGACAGCATTCCTGTGCACTCTACACCAAGCCCAGACTCCTGGAATACTATATTCATCAAAAATTGCAAAAAACACTGTCACAGGCCTTAACCACTGGACTGCACAACATGCCTTGAGGCTCTCGACGGGTGAAAACCCAAGATAGGGTAATGCTTTAGATATTTCCTTCGTCCATCTAGGAATCTTCAAACAACTTCTCACGTTCCTTTACAAAATTAACTTGTGGTAAATTCATTTACAGGATTTAGTGACCAGGATTTTGATAATAGCAAGATTGTGGTGATAATTGTGGTGCGTAGTATTGTGGGAGGAGGAATTTTGGTGAGGGAGGTATCATCAGCTGATTGTGTGTGGCAGCCACTCTTGAGTCCAGTCACTTAGTGGTTTGCTATGGTGAACACAAATGTTGATACTTATATATAACGTGTGCATAGTGTAATAACAGCAACAGGAGTATGTTGGGAGGAGCCATTTTGGTGAGGGAGGTGGTGTCGTACTCATAGCGTCGTCTGCTGGCGGCTGCTGTGTGACTTGTCATGCAGTGTATGGTGGCAACTCTGCAGTTTGGACACCATTCTAGCCTAGTTGTATAGGTATTGTGAATAAAGCATGTAGATACTTGTATATAACATGTGTATATAGTGTAATAACAGCACAAACAATATGGTGGGAGGAGGAATTTTGGTGAGGGAGGTATCATCAGCTGATAGTGTGTGGCAGCCACTCTTGTTTGGACTCACCATACCAACTTAGTGGTTTATTATAGTGAACACATATATAGTTGGTCATATACTGTGTGTGTGTGTGAAGAGTGTAATAACAGCAAAAACACAGTTTGATTGATCGTAGAATATAATATATATATATATATGCCACATATGAGCCCCATAATTTTGAGCATAGTGATGTTCCACACATTGAACTATGTAAATTCCACAAATTACACACTTTTGAATAATATTACAGCAAAAAAACAACAGAGAAGAAACAAATAATAATAAAAATAATTGTGAAACATTATATTCGTGGCAACTACCGCCCCACAGGGTGGTGGGGTCGAGTGACCTTGAGCGCTCCATTGCTCAGTGCTCATAATTTGCTCAACTTCCCAGGTCCATCACAGCTTAAGTATGTCATGTGCATTTTTTTTTTTATTTTTTTTTTAGGTCTCCCGTGATCAGAGACTGTTTTAACCATATAAGATAAAAAAATTTTTTGGAAAGAATTTATTTTCGGCGGACCAAGGGGGTTGTCATATTTTAATGCAGAACAGTGCAGTGGTTAACCACTGCACTGTGCAACATGCCTTGAGGCGCTCCATGGGTGGTGCACAATGCGCCTCAGGGCATTGT